AAGCAATTATTTTTAGTAAAATGCTTATCAATCTTTTAGTATTCTTCTGTGGTGTATATTTTTGCATTCATTATTGAGTTATATGAGCTCCTGTGATTTTCAGCCTTTAGTTTGCTGAGGTTGTAAGTCCTTCATGCCATTTTCAGTTGGCACTTAGCAATTGCATGTGAAAATGGATAAAACTCATTCAGCTCTTCCTTAGTCTGATCAGTCTACCAATACCCTTGTGCTTTCCTTCTCTCATTTGTGTTTTTAAACCAGCCCTGCTCATTAGCATCTCTGCCAGATGCTGAAAATGAAAATGAGTTTAATTAGTCTTATCTATTTGCTCTGGAAAAATTTTGCATAGATGAAATTATTTTATTAGCAAAAGTGAAATGTTTAAAAATGTACCTGTTCAAATATGCCTGTTACTTCAGGATAGTTATCTATTGGTCTACCCATATGATGCATTATATGGATTATTGGTGACAAGCTTTTAATCATTGGCTGCTCTAAGTTTGTCTTATGTGTTTTCTTCAGTTCTTCAAGGATCCCTGTTCCTTTTATTTGAGAATAGTACAGGTTAGGCATTCCTAATCTAAAAATCTGAAATCTGAAACTTTTTGAGGTCTGACTTGACACTCTAAGTGGAAAATTTCATACTTGACTTCATGCAATAGGTTGTATTGAAAATGCAGACACACTAAAATTATAAAAATTGTTTTCAGGCTCCGAATTTGTTATATACAAAACATGGATTTCTTCTTTAGACATGTGTGTCATTCAAACCATGTCTCATTTATGTATATGCAAATATTGCAAAATCTGAAATCTGAACCACTTCTGGTCCCAGACATTTTGAATAAAAGATACTCTATCTGAATTAGAAACCTTAATCTACAGTATTGCATGTGCTCTTTGGTATTTGGATATGGTTGCTTCTAGGTCTTCTCAGCTAACAGCTAACAGATAAAATATGTATATTGATTTGAGCATCTACACTTATTTCCTTACATTCCTATATGTGAACACTTATCTCTATGTTAGTGTAGCAATAACCCACAACCTTCGGACCAACTCCTATGTCTATATTAAGTTAAACATGAGTTCATATGGAGAACTCTAATCCTTTAGTACGTGGATCGTAATTTCTCTGTTGGCTTATCAGTAACCCCACTCTATCATTGAGAAATCTTGTTATCAACGTTTACCATCTGTTTATTTAATTGTCCAATTCCAGTATATTTTTGTAATAGTATCAGAATTATAACTCTACCCCTATAGTTTGACATCTTTATCAATTAGAGTACAGAGGTTATGTATAGCTTTATTTCGTTTGGTTTTATAAATTTCACTTGTTTCCAAAATAATATAGGTAAGCAACTTATCCTTCTTCCCCTCCAGTAAGATTTTTTTCCCAAATTTGTAATAGATTTTCTTTTTTTGGTAACATGACTTTCAACTCTGACCTTCAGAAATTTTATTTTAAATTTGAATGCATTACAGTTTACTTTTATCTTGTAAACTTCTGTGAGCTTTTCAAATGCATAGTGTCATTTATTCACCATTAAAGTACTATACAAAATAGTTTCATCACCCCAAGATCTTCTGTGCTTCTCCATGGACCCTGGCAAGTACTGATTATCCTTTTTTTTTTTTTGGTACTGGTTATTAAACTCTGGTCCTTGCAATTGTGAGGAGGCAGGCGGCGGCACCACTGAGTTAAATCTCTGGTCCTGATCTTTGTACTCTTTATAGTTTTGCCCTTTATAGAATATGACCTTTTCAGTTGCCCACTTTTTCTTAGTACTGATATGCATTTAAGACACATCCATGTCAGAGCTGGGCCTATGGCTCATTCATAGGGTGCTTGTCTCCAGCTCCAATAAAAGCAAATAAAACAAAAGAACCCAGAGCTCATCCATGTCTCTTCATGGATCATTAGCTTATTTATTTTTATTACTAAATAATATTTAGTTATATAGCTATATTACAGTTTGTCTATGTAGTGGCTTATAGAAGGACAGTTTAGATGAGTCTAGATTAGGAGTGATTACTAATAAAGCTACCCATAAACAATTATCACATGGACATGATGACTCTTCATGGAAATTGGATAAATACTACATATCACAAAGTATTGTAGATTGTTGGATCACACAGAAAGAATATGTTCAACTTTGAAATGAATGACCAAATTATCTCCCAAAGCAACTGTACCATTTTGCATTCTTACCAGCTACAAATAAGAGTTGTTTTTGCTCTGCTTTCATGTCAACAACTAATACCGTTTGTTTTGTGGACTTTAGCCATTGTAGTAAGTCACTCATGTCCACTTCAATTCATTAATTACAAGTGTCTTTTCACATTTATTTTCCATATCTAATCTAATTTTCTTTGGTGAGGTGGGTGTTCAAATCTTTGGACCAGTTTTTGTTTTCTTATTGTTGAATTTTAAGTGTTCACTGTCTATGGTGAGTGAAAGACCTTTGCATACATACTATAATTTGGCTACTAAAACTTGTATGATAATGTATTGAGATGAAATGGGCTGAAAGGGAGGGATAAGTCAGTTATGACTTTATATTTCCAACCTAAGTTTCTGCGTGAATCTCAGAGAAACTTAACAATGAAAGGAAAATTGAGAGTTGAAATCTTTGGGAGGATGACTCCCTTATTTTTGAGTCTCATGTCTCATTTTGAAGCAAAGGAAGATTATCCAAGGCCTGGAGATAAAATACACCAAGATTCCAGTTTCAAATATTGCTGTCCTCATCAAGAATTGTTGACCAGAACAGAAATCAGGAACAATTAGAAAGTTAAATAAGAACTGCAAGGCAATGTTGTAAGGAGTCAAGTGTGAAATGTGTTCCAGTATGTAGGACAGAATCACAGAGAATGTGAAATTTATGTTGTCTTCTTAAAAATCAGACATGCTGTTGGCTTACTTCAACATCCTGTGCTTTTTGTACCTGGGAATTAATGGCTTTCTCAGGTGAGCTCATTCTTGCTTTAATGAGTCAATTGTCTTTGCATTTTGTGGAATTTCTCAAATTGAATCTTACACCATCAGGGTTCTTCTGCCCTTGGTAAATATATATGGGTGCCTTTTTTTCTTGAGTCTAATACAGGCTGTTTATGTTGAAATTGATTAAATACTACTAATTTCATTGAAATAAATCATTTACATTCTTAGTTATACTATTTTGGTGTAGAATCCTAGCAGTTGTGATTTTAGTTTCCAGCAGAATTAATTAGCACATGTGAAGTCAGTGCTTTGTTTGGAAAAACATACAGCCTACTATCTAGAGCCATAAAGTTTTGGTTCCTTTCTTTTTATATGACTCAAAGCACAATTTCACATTGCCTTTACCACCTACCCATCCCTACAGATGTTAATTTATTGAAATCATTTACAGAGATGATGGAATGGTAAAAAACAGTTATCACTGAGAATAGTATTTATATCCCATTTGTGTTCAGTATTTTAAATTTGAAAATATGTAATTTTATGTTCAGTGTGTAATTACTTTGAAAATCTTATGTATGTTTAACAGTTATTATTAGACTGAACATTATTTTAGTGAAATTGATTATATAAATAGAATAACAATGAACAAATGTCAAGATTTTTCTGATCTGAAGATTACTTATACTATTGGGCTTAGTACTCCTGAGAAAAAGGAGTTATTTGGGTTTGGAGGAAATAAAAACATATTAATTAATTCATTTATTAATTAAACACTTTTTAGCATGTATTGTGGTCCAGTGCTATGTTCTGTTTGCTTCTATTGATAGTTTCATTTGCTTTTTGTAATAAATCTATGATAACTACTTACCATAAAATAAGTAATTTTAAGGCTTACTGCACAAAATAGAGCACAACATTGGTTCACAGATACCTCCCAAATTTACTGTTAGGAAACAGCTGTGTAGAGCATGCTGTGCAGCATTTTCCAGTTAAAATTGCTAAAGTTTTGACTTTAGATTTGTTTTTTATTATTGTGGTAAATGTATATACTATAAAATACTGATTTAACTATTTCAAGTGTACAGGTCAGTGTCACTAATTATATTCACAATGTCTTGCAACCATGCAAACCTTTGCCTTAATGCCAAACAGAAACTGTATACCCATTAAGCAAAACGTCCTCATTCTAGCTCCCTCCAGCAGGTTAGTGATTACTGGATCTTAGTACAATGTGTTGTGATATTGTTTATTTCATTTACATCAACGTATCATATGAATAACTTTATTTTATTTTATTTTTTTAATTTTTTTCAGCTTTAATTGATTTTATTGGTACATTTTAGGGATACAGTACAGTTACATTAATTGTTGGGATCTTGTACCTCTACATGACAAGTCTTGATTCTCATTTTTTCCCCTTACCTCTGCCCTCCCTTCACCCGCTCCTCCCCTCCCCATCTACAAACACTTTATTTTCATCTTTTCATTCTCTCACATTTTTTTCTTTTCCCTTTTTACTCTTCCCCTACCCATCCCACCTTCCCTACACCTTTAGCTCCTTTCTTCCCATTTCTAAATGTCAGTAATCTTATTAGAATCTTATGCATTGTTGCAGATTATTTACACCAGGGAAACTATTCGGCATTTACACATATGTGACTTATTTATTTCACTTAGGAGTATATCTTCAATATGTATCAATTTTCCTATGAATGAATCTATTTTCTCGTTATTTATGGCTGAGTAATATTCCATTTTATAGAAAAACCACAACTTCTTTATCCAGTTTCCAACGGATGGGCAAATAGGCTCTTTCCAAGATTTAGCTATTAAAACTGTGCTGCTATAAACATGGGTGCACATACTTCTCTGTGATATGATTCTTTTAGTTCTTTTGGAAAGATACCCAGCAGAGGGATGGCTGGGTCAAATGGAACCTCCAGTCCAAGCTCTTTGAGGTATCTCCATATTGATTTCCATAGTGGTTGCACTAGTCTGCACTCCCACCAACAATGGAGTAACTTTATTCTTTTCAATTCTTTTACAGGCTTGACAGATGAAAAGGTGAAGGCATACCTATCTCTTCATCCCCAGGTATTAGATGAGTTTGTTTCTGAGAGTGTTAGTGCAGAGACGGTAGAGAAATGGCTGAAGAGGAAACACAATAAACTTGAAGGTAAGATTTCATTCAGATTGATCATGGACTCATTTTAAACCAACTTTTTCTAGTTCAAAGAAAAGAACAACATTTAATGTGTTCTAGAAAGCCAATTGTAAGATAGAATATACTTACATTTTAATTGTTTTGTTCTTTCAGAAGATTAAATTAGAAGTGGAAAAATAAATTTTAAAAATGATCTTTGGCTTTAGAAAAAATTTTGGCAAGTAATTCTTGAGAATTCTGCCATACAGAATAAAACCAGAAATCATTATTATTTTTAAATTTTACTTAATTTATTTAAAATTTATTTATTTAAATATTATTTAAATTAAATTAAATTTGTCATTTTGAAGTTACTACAATGAAATTCTTGGGGCAATTAACTTATAAATAGAAAGTATTTACATTACTGTGAACTTATAGCATTTGATAACAGTTTGAGTTGTTTGGTAGTTTTAAAAAGTGTGGCTTAACTTTCCTGAAGGCACATATTAAATAATGATATAAATTTCAACTTGCTATATAATGAAAGATGATAATATAGTACAAGATATATGCTAGCTTTAGGATATGAAATTTAGTCCAGGTCTTAGAAAATGAAAATTTTTACCTACTGTTTTTATATTACCATGAAAATCAACTATTAACTTTTCATAAATATTTAGATGTCATTCTTTAACTCTCAAATATCTATTTTCTGTTTTTTGTTTGTTTTCTTTCCTTTGTTTGTTTGGTACTGGGGATTGACCTCAGGTTCTTGTGCTTACGAGGCAGGCAGCAGAACCACTGAGCTAAATCCCTGGCCCCTCTATTTTCTGTCCTAATCAAATAATACTTCAAGTATCTGATACATATAATGAAATTACCTAAGTATTAGGAATAGCAACATGTACCTGAAACCTTGTTTTCCTTTGTTTTCTCAGTTGCTCTCACTTCTTTCCCTACTAAGACAAAACCAAACCAAATCACTTTGTCCTTAGAAAGCAGATGTTTTTGACCTGATCCTGTGGTGGGCTGCAGCCTTGTTGAGACTGAATGAAAAGAAGCTATTGAGATGTGGCTGGGAGTTAGCATCACTTTGTAGTGATGAGGACAGACATAAAAGTGACCACATAGGAGAATGCATTAGCAAACAGGAGCACATGCAGTTTGTAGTAGAAATATAAGAAAGGGAATCTTTAGTGGTGCTGTGCATTGTGGTTAGGTCGCTGTTACCTTCTCTGCTAAAGAATTTATCCAGAAAGTGTATCTTGTTACATTGTACTTCATGTTCAGCAAAGTTCTGAAGCCGGACTCCTAAGGGTCATATAAAAATAAGGCTTTTTATTTCTTCCCTCTCTGCTTTTCTTTCTTCATGACTTAAAAAAAAATTGTCTATTCCCCTCATCTGTTATTCTCCTTCCCTCCTATCACTGAAGGTTATTTGAGGAAAAAAAGAAAAAAGAAAAAAAAAGCTTCCTTGAGAGGCTTTTCATGCATTCCTGTTATCACTGGGGGTTATTTGAGGAAAAAAAGAAAAAAGAAAAAAAAAGCTTCCTTGAGAGGATTTTCAGGTGCATTCCTGTTTCCACGAGTGGATACAGGGACAAAAACTGGCAGAGAGAAGTTGCTTAATAGTTTACTGAACACAAGAAAAGCATGTCCAGATTACCTCATTTTGTGCTGTGTAGAAAAAGGAAATAAAGAAAATGAATTCTGTTCTGGAAACCAATTTGCACAGTACTGTATTCCTTATGTTACATTTTATATTTTTGTCATGATTGATAAATCAGCCTTATATGAAAATAATTGACATTGCAGGAATAGAAAATTATGTAATATTAAATTCTTCTTCAAGAAAGATCATATATAGAAATTTGAACTTATAGGTACGTGAACAGTGTGATTATTTAAAATTTACAAAATGATATTTTCTTTTGAAATGGTCAGCCTTCATACTATTTGGAGTTGGCTTTCAGTATTCATTCAGTATTTTATAGAGTACTTACTGTACTCATAGATCTCATAAAAACACTTGAAATTCAGAAAACACATGACATAATTCACTTAACTACAGAGATATTTATAATGCATCAATATTGTGTGTTCATAGAGAAGCTGTAGTTTCCAAGACCTTTCCCATGTATTGACCATTTACATTTGATTCTATTAGTGAATGTTAGGTATAGTTATGTTCACTTGCAGATGTTCAAACTGTGCTAAGGGACATGAAAGCAGTACTAAGTGTCAAGTATGTATCTGTTCTTGATAGAATTATGATAGAATTATGAGACAGCAACTGTGACCATAACTTGATGCCATCAGATGTATGCATTATGGTTATTTTTGCTTTCCTCACCTAACAAATATATTTCACAGACAGTGGGGGACTTTGTAAACATTTTTGATGAATGAATGAATGAATTAGGTAGGGCTAGATTCTAAACCTATGCAGGAACTAGTACTAAAATTGTCATTATACTTAGTTATGACACTATGTTGACACCAGAGATAATTTTATGTTTATCTGATCTCTTCTGTACTCATTTCAGATCTTCTTGAGCTGGGTGTTAGGTGTGCATACCTTTAATCCCAGCACTCCGGGAGGCCCAGGAGGGAGAATTTTTAATTTTAGCCAAGCTTGGGAAATTTAGCAACTTAGTGAGACCCTGTCTCAAACGTAAAAAATAAAAGAGCTGGGAATGTAGGTCAGAGGAAAGGCCCTTAGGTTCAGTGACCATTATTAGAGAAAAACACGACGAACAGCAACAACAACAAAGCCCCCACATATGCCCAAACAACAACTTCTTGAGGGAAAGAATTATACAATACAAATATCCTTTTTCTGAAACACTTGGGACCCAGAGCGCTTTTAGATTTCAGAATTTTTCTGAATTTTGCAATATTTGTATAGACTTTACAAGTTGAATGTACCTAATCCAAAAATCTAAAATAAAAAACTTTCAGATTTTTGAGCATTTTGAGCTTTGCATTTTTGGATTAGGAGTGCTCACCTTGCATATATTTTTAAATCCATCAGTGTACCTTGTGTTTTCATTCATCTAGCAAACTGTCTTAAGCACTGTTTGGATACTGGGGTTATTCAATTTTTAGGGTATTCATAGTCTAACAAATAAAATAATTGTAATTTACTACTTCTAGGTGGTCTGAGTTTGGAGCTAGTCGTAGGCTACATTTGTAGTTTCGGAGACAGGGCAGTCTCATGAAAGCAAGAAGGAAACTGCTATGAGTCACTGTCTACTTTGTTTTGACTGAGAAGAGGGGGTTTAGGGAAATTAGGACTGCTATATGTCCTGTAAGGTTTGGATTTCAGTGGTCTTTTCTGCTGTTACTGTTTGCAGCTAAATTTTACTGCTTTCATAGTATTTTAAATCCAAATGTATAAAATTTTATCTACAATTGAGAGTCAATTTGCCTTTTAAGATTGACCTCTAAACCTAATTCCAAACAGCCAGTTTTTAAGTTATATTTAGAAATTGGAGACTGCAGTTGTTTCTTTTATTATATATTGTACTCATTCAAGAAAGGCTAAAACTTTCCTCTGGAAACATGGATGTAGCTTGTACATCCTTAGAACAGAAAATGCCTTCTAAGGACAGTTTTTAACAGATTTTGTCATACAACTATACATCTATTGGGGAAAAATCGTGGGAGACAAAAGTCATGTTTCATATTTCATTTCACTAAACATAATAATATTCTATTCATTTTTATGCAAACTTAATTGACAGATGCATAGCAGGTATCCTTCAAAACTCAGACTGTTAAACTACTATCAACACAGCTACATGTATATATAGTATACATACAGAATTATTAAATACATGCTAGGTCCATGTCTTTGCTAGGCCCAAGTCTTTGCATTCTAAGAGGGAACATAAGTGCACATACCTAATATTACTTCTATATTTCAATTATGAGCAGGAAGAATAATAAATTACCTTGACTATTAGCAGTGATGCCTTTTGGCTTTAAATGTAAAAGTTATTATTTGACAATAATCTTGTTATTAGAAAGAGTTCATGAAGTAGTGGAAATCAACATGACCATATTTGTTATCTATTGATACTAGAATAATATTTAAAATAAATAAATTAAGAAAAAAACCCAAATATATTGTAATAGTGATTTCCTAAAGGAAAATTACTTGGAACTTTAGGGGTTGATTTATTCAATTCAAATCTTTTATAAATTATAAGTAGGATGTTATATTTTGTGGCCACCTATTTTATTTCTATATCTAACATTTTTAACATCAGATCATATCTCTATCAGTGTGACTATAAACTTCATAAAATTTACAATAGTTCTATCAGCTACCTTAAATTGTTTTCAACAAATACATGACTAGTTCCTTTTTTACACCAAAATGCAGTTATTGCATATTTTCCTTTTTTATAATTCTGGAAATGGTATTTAATTTTCATTCAAATGAAACTGTTAGATATTTCATACTTAAGAGTAAGTGGGAAACCTACACTTTGATAACTTAAAGCTCAGACTAAACTGCATTCATACTGTTTAATATATAACAGATGTTTTCTGTTATATAGTGCAGTGGTATATTAGCTTAATGAAGCATGAATTACTTTGCCAAAATATGCAGTGTTGGAAAATTTTAATAAGTAAAGCACTAATAAATGATGTATCACTTATTCGTACATATCATATATAAGAAAAATAAAACATCCTAAATTAATTTATATAGAATTTAATTTTAGACACTTTTATTTTCTTGCAATTAAATTGTTTCAAATATTGAAATTAAATTTTCACATACTTTTATATGTTTATCATCATTATTATCATTACTATTATTTTGGTAATGGAAACTAGAACATGTGCTGAATGTCTTGATCTGAATTATAAATAAAGATGAAGCTACCAACTGGTAACTAGTAGGGAGATAAAATTGATAATAATTTATCTACAAAGATTTACTTGATATATTTCATTAGTTCTGTTAATTGTATCTGTATTATCATAAACATGTATCTTTAATGTATTCTTCTTGA